CGACAGATGGCGTTAATCAGTGCCTTTATCTATTGCATTCAAATAAGCATGCATCTCTGGCAGAAGAATTGGCTGACACTATTAAGCAGGCCATAGCTACTGAGTCTTGTAAAATACCTTTGTCTTTTCAGAATCAAGTAGAAGGAGATGATTATTCAAAATTTAAATTTAACCTTGCTGAGAAATATTCGTTTTTTTCTACAATTAATGGAAATGAGCTGACTGTTGCCAGTACTGCTGGAGATGTTAATGATGTCATTAATGAGCTCATGGGTTTTATTAACGAAGCATGCTCTGTTTCTGAAACAATCAATTTTAGTAAAGGTGTGTGGCGTTTGTTTCATACTGAATTGAAAGTTGAATGGTCTGAAGTAAAGAGAAGCCTGGAAACAAAAGGTATTGATATAGTTTCTTCAAAGCCAGATACATCAAAACCATATGTTGTTATCAGAGGAGAAACAAGAGCTGTTCAAGAAGCTAAGGAGGATATTCTGTCCCATCAAGTATCAGTTGAATCAAAGAAAATAATTCTTTCACAAGCTGGTGTCTATTCATATTTTCTCTCAAACAATGCACTAATATTGAAAGGTATTGAAAATGCTGCAGGAGTATGCATTGAAGTAGAAGTGAAGGGAATGTCTCCGAACGTTTTTAAAGAAGTTTTCACTGGTGTTACAAAAGAAATGATGTCTGTGTGCGTAGTTGTTGGTGACTTAACTGAGTTTAATCAAGCTGAAGTGATTGTCAACGCTGCAAATGAAGAATTAAAGCACAAAGGAGGCATTGCTGCAGCAATTGCAAGGAAAGGTGGCCCAAGCATTCAACAGGAATCGAATGATTACATCAGAAAAAACAAAAAGGTAGCTACTGGAACAGCTGTGCATTTCACTGCAACTGGTAACCTTCCTTCTTCATTTAAAGCAATTGTTCATGCAGTTGGTCCAAGATATCATGCTGAAGACAAGCAAAATTCCTGTGCAACATTAAAACAGGCAATTTTTCAGAGTCTCGAGTTAGCGAAAAATTATGAGTCTGTAGCCTTCCCAGCTATTGGAGGTGGTAATTTTGGTTTTCCTATTGCTGTTTGTGCTAATATTCATTTTGAAGCTGTAGTTGAATTTAGCAAAACAGAACAACCAACTAAACTGAGAAAAGTTTATTTTGTCATAATTGAAGAAAATGTCGAGGTTTTTCTGCAAGTAGCCAAGAATTATCTGTCAGATATTTTATTGGAACAACCACCAACTTTTGAAAGCCTTAGGCCTTTAAGTGTACCTCATCTGGCACCAAATGCATCTTCAGCATCAAGTGTGCTACCAACTCTAACAACTATTGCTGCACAGCAATATCCAAAAAGAAAAACTAAGAAACATAAACCATCTTATAGTGTACCTGAATTAGGGACTAGTCTTGAATATATCAAAATATCACAAGGCAGCATAATTGACTACCCGGTAAGTATCATTTTATTACTAAAATAATTATATTTACCATAATATGGATATAAAATTGAGTGGGGTGTTTAGCTTCAGGGGTGTCATTTCTTATCTAAAAAAATTAATACTGGAACATACTGCACATGTGCAGCATGTGTACATATGCACATGCTTGCACATGCAAAAAGTTATGCCCTTGAAATAGGAGCTTTTCACAGAAACACAAAATTTTATACACTTAAAATTTTGTAAACTTGTACCCATATTCAAAAGTAAACTGTGGTACTGAACAGTTAGTCAGGAATCTTGGTGGCAAAAGTGAATGAAAGCATATATTATTATATAAGCATTAATAGTAAGAATAAGCAAAATAAAACAGTAGGTATAAACACTAGTAATAATGATAATAATAATAATAAATAATATAATAATACACATTAAGAGTAAATTTGACATTAAATTCAAGTATTTGCTTGTATTTCATAAAATTAATTATAACTCAAAATATACTGCTCAGAATCAACCTTCTTATAATATAAAACTTGAGTAGTTCTACACCAGGAGCATAGGTGGCAGCAGGATTGGAAGAGCAGTCGGGCAAAAAATGGCACGCAAAGCATGCCATGATTTTGACCACACCCACCTTTTTTGCGCATAATTTGGGCGTATACTCAACGCACGCATACAATATGATATACCATAAAAATATGCCTAAAAGGCCCCCTGTCTCATCTGTAAAGCTCTATTCAACCTGTAAAGTACTAGTCCTGGTCCTCCTGGAAAGCTTGTTGACAAAGGAAAGCAGAAAAGGCTGTTTCTTGCTAGCTATGATAATTATTCATGACTAAAAATGAGGCCATTAATTAAATTATAATTTCCCGTCAAAATTTTTGGTCAGGCATTGCCAATCCATGCCCGACCCTGCTGCTGCCTATGACCAGGAGCACATGATTAAAATCATGGAATTATCATGCTGTTTCTATCATACCATAGCTTGAGCTAATAACAAATTACCATAAATGTTTAAATAAAAGCTTAGGCACTTATTTCTTAAGGGCAAAAAATTGCATGATCAAAACTAAAATTCAAACTTGCAACATTTGGATCAGTGGGTTTACTGGCTATTTGGAGCAATAGTTGCATGGTACCTGTACTGAGCAGAGCTTTTATTTTAACATTAATGGTATCTCGCTTGATTTATCCCTTCTGGTACTAAGATGTTTCAATTCCTAGAAGCTCAGGTCCCCTCACCCGTTTATATTTCACCCCAAATGAGCCAGCTTTTGCCAGCTGGGATTAGTCAACTTCCCTCCTAATCCCCTTGATTTGACCCCTTGCATAATGCCCCAGCTAGCTATTCCTCTATTGCACTTTTTCACTAATTTGGGTTAATTCCCCCTAATACACATATATGGTGTTAACCACAATTACATACCAGGTAATAGTCTCGGCCCAGCGGAAGGGGCTGGGCTGAGACTAACCAAGTAATATCCTATATTTTTGGTTCCTAAAATAAAAAAATGCTTTCTTGTTACCTTAAGGAGACAATTGTTTGCAGGTATTTAATTTAGCAAATTTTAGCGATTTTAAAAAATTCGCTAACTTAAGTCCGCGCTAACTTTAATTATTTCTGATTAACCCTAATAATAATTTCATTGAAAGCAGGTGTGGTCACAATTACAATGGCGGCCGTCAGCAAGTCTGAGCTTATTTGCAGCAAACGCTCAGCAAGATAATACTAAACTGCTGTCCAAAGACTTCTCTAGCAGTTAGCCTAGGTTAAAAAGCAGATGACAATCTTCTTCATTCAGTGAATAAGCAATTTAAGCAAGTCTAGCAAGATTAATGCAACAAGATCTACTGTATTTAGATTTGTGCAATTGCTTTGCTTGCTCATTTTGCTTAGGCTTGTCCCTCTAATGTTTTACTTTCCCCCAATCTGCGATTAGTTATTGGGATCCTTGTCTGCATGTAGCAGGCCTCGAACCCACATAAGGTGATTGGAAATCACCCATTCTGCCAGTTAAATTATACATGCTTTAATCTGGGAACACTTTTCAGTACCCCCACCGTGTTTTGACTTATCCCTCCCTTGCCACTTCCCAATCATACGTGTCCTCCCCTGCCAACTTCCCATGACACACTTAAGTAGCCACTTCCTTTACATCCAAAGTTCTGCCCATACTATATAGTACACATATACCGCTGATAAAATTTTAAAATAATTTCTGTATCTCATAGGAAGAGGCTCTGGTCAATACTACTGACGAGAATCTAAAACTTGAAGGATACGTTTCAAAAGTTTTATTAAAAGAAGCAGGGCCTGACTTAAAAAAAGAATGTGATGCTTTAACGAAGCCTTTTAAGACTGGTAGTGTGGTTGCAACAAAAGCCTACAAATTGAGGAACTCAAAACATGTACTCCATGTCATCTTACCTAATTATGATAGAAAATCTGAAGGGGTGAGTGACTTATTACTGTATAGCGCAAAATTTTTGAGGACTGTAAATTTCGCGAATTTGCCTAAAAATCTATTTTGTGGAATTAATTTCACGAATTTATGCAGTCTGCCATCTTGTACCGTAATAATGATTTTTGCAAAAGTAATTTTTTGTAAATCTTCAAAAATTGCAAAATTAGTGAAATGTACAGCCCTCAAAAAATTTGTGCTATATGGTATTATTTTAAATTATTACAAATTTTTATGTTTATACAGGTATTAAGAGAAGTTGTAAGAAATTGTTTAGATGAATGCACTCGTCTAAAAGTCAAATCATTGTCAATGCCATCGATTGGAGCTGGCAATCTCAAATACCCTCCTGATATTGTTGCTAGAGTTCTCATTGAAGAAACAGTCTCCTTTTTTCAAAAAAATAATGGAAAGACCACACTGAAATTAGTTCATTTTGTTATTTATGAGCAAGATATTTTTGAAAAATTTCAGAAAGTATTAAGATTAGGGCAACAGTCACCTAGAGCTACTAATTTTGATAGTAAATCTATGCAATCACTCTTAATTACTAAAGGGAGTGTAACTGATTTTCAGGTAAAAATTATTTTTACAATAATAAGAATTACTCCAAAATTTTACAATAGGAAGAAGCTGTTGTATTTACAAATAATCCTAATCTGGAACTTAAAGGAGTTGTAGGACAAGTTTTAACAAAACATGCTGGCCCAGAATTGAAAAAAGAATGTGATGCTTTAAAAAAACCAATAGAATTTGGTAGTGTTATTGCAACTAAAGGTCATTCTCTTAAAGCAAAGTATATTCTTCATGCAATACTACAGTCACGTGGCACTTCAAGTGAAGAACCTGAAAAGGTACATGATTTGTCTCTTTTTGAATTCTAATCATTAATTATAGGTTTTGAGAAAAATTGCTGTGAAATGTTTAGATGAATGCACTAGATTGAAAGTTAAGAGTCTTTCAATGACCTCTATTGGTGCTGGTAAACTGGGGTACCCTAATGATATTGTGGCTAAAGCACTACTAGAAGAAACGGCAATATACCTGAAGAAAAATAAGGGAAACACAACAATTGAATTGGTTCGTTTTGTTATTTACGAACAGACTGTGTATGATGAATTCAACAAAGTGTATCAACAACTCAATGCAGTTGCAACAAAGAGAAAGGAATTCTCACTTTCACAAAGTCACCCTCTGAAGTTAGAACTTTTAGAAGGAGAAATTGGAAATGATAGCTCTGATGTCACAGTCACATATGATGCAGCTGCTTCTCTAGTAGAAAAAAAACCACTTATGAAACTTATACAAAATTCAGGAGGTGTTGGAAGAAAGATGACTCTTCCTGTTGCATTTCATCAGAGTACTCATGAGCAGAAGAAATTTAGTTTCGCTTGTTTAGATAAGGCTGAAAAAGATCAGTTTGAGTCAATAGTCTTTCCAGCTCAATTTCAAAGCCATGCAATAGTACCAAAAGCCATTGTTGATGCATCACAGAAATTTGTAGCTACTAATCCAATTCATATGAAAGTTATTCGTGTCTTGTATACAACATTGTCACCTGAAATTGTTCAGCATTATGAAGAAGCACTCAAGTCATGGACAAACGGGCAAGAATCTGGTTTTCTGAGCAAGGCAAAAGCTTTTCGCTCAGCTGTTGCATCAGCTGTTGGTTATAGTCATGAAAGCAGATCTTATTTCAAAGATACTCCTACTTTGGAATTCGAAGTTGTGCTCGATATATTTGGAAAAACAAATGAAGCAATATTAAAAGCTGAGCAACAAATTAGAGAAACAGTTAAAGAAAATTTTATTGACCTCAAAATAGAAGACAAGCATATTGCAGCATTGTCAGCCGAAGGACTTCATGAAATATCATCCATTGCAGCTAGCTCTAACGTAAAGATTGATATTGATCAAGAGAGAGGAATAATAACTTTTCGTGGTTTTCAGGATGTCCATAAAGTTCGAAGCGACATTCAAAATATTTTACAAAAAATAAGTGAAGCAGAAGTTCAACAGACACTAGCTGATACCCTTTATCAGAGCATTCGTTGGGTGCAAATGCCATCATCAGGAAATGAGGAGGAATATGATGAAATATTAAACTATGAAATTGAGCAAGCTTATCAGAGAGAAGAGAAAGAATTTCTTTCAACAGATCACAACTTTGTAATTGATTTTACTAAAATGACGGACAGGGACTTGACAACAAATGCAACTGCTCGGGTCAAACGTATAAAAATTGATGGTAAATCATGTAAAGCTAAAATGTTTAGTAATAATTATTTTTATTCTAGTTCCTTTACCTGAGATTTGGAGTCCAATGCCTTTAGATCAAGGGAAAGAAAAATTTTTTCATTTAGTGCAGTTGCCACCAACTAGCCCTGAATATATTGGTGTAGAGAGAGCCTTTACCCAAACTATGAATCGTGGTCAACAATACACTGAGATTTTAAGCATCGAGCGTATTCAAATTCCAGCATTATACAAGCAATATGCTTTGGCAAAGAAAGAAATGGACATGCGTAATCCAGTTGGTCACATTAATGAGAGACATCTATGGCATGGAACAAACCATGAGACAATAGAAAAAATCAATACTCAGGGTTTTAATCGTAGCTTTGCTGGAAAACATGGTTAGTATAAGATTAACACACTGTATATTTAATTTATTGAATGTTTATAGCTACTGCATTTGGAAAAGGAGTATACTTTGCTACTAATTCAGCCTATTCACATAAATATGCTGATCCGGGTGTTAACAAGCATCGCTATATGTTTTATGTTCAAGTTTTGACTGGTGAGTATACTCGTGGTGACACTAATACGATAGTACCACCAATGAAACCAAATCAGCAAAATCCTGCAGTTCTATACGACTCTACAGTCAACGACATAAACAACCCAACCATTTTCGTAGTCTATAAAGATACTCAGAATTATCCAGCATACCTGGTCCAGTATCGCTGACAAACTATTGTGTGCATAAGACAATGTGTGAATAGTAGTGTATTTAAGCTTATGTAGTGTAGAATTTTCCTTAGAATTATTAGAGATTTTATTAAGTTGTAGTATAAAGGTGATTTTAGATCTGTATTTCGATTAGTTAGAGTAACGTTTTTTTGATAGCTGAATTTTAGATTTCTATTTTGATTATGATAACTATATACGTATATTATCAAGTACATTTTGTTACTAACAAACCTGTATAGCCTGTTATACTAGTGAGCACATACATAAATGTGCCCTACAATATATGACAAATAATAATGCAGAATAATTATGTAACGAAGCTACTTCGTTAAAGTGAGGCTTGCACGCGAAAATGAAATTTGAGATTATTGCTTATTTTTAATGTACACTACCCAAATAGACTATTCCTAGTTGCATTCTTGCATTGGACTTGCTTTGGGAAAGCTAGAGCTTGCTAAAGTTGCTGGTAGCCATTGCTTCCTGTTAGGGGGCGCGGTCATTGATGAACTGCATGCAAGGGGAAGAGAACCTTATGGGGTATGCAGAAATAAAGAGAAAATAACTTGATAAAAAGAGGGAAATAGACTATGACAAGTCAAGAGATTTAGCATGACTTAGACTGGTCCCTATGGCTATTCTATGCTATGTAGTGATT